TACTCAAAGCTGTATTTATGTATTTTTATATTTAAACAGTTAATAAAAACAAAGTAAAAATGACCAATTGTATTGCTGCCACTAACACTGTGTGTTGCTTCTTAAATACTAGACAAATAATTCAGACTTATTTGAGAACAAGTCAAACTTGTGCTCCTGGCTTTGCAGTATAAATCGCCACAAGACTCAAATCTTTTCAGCTCCTCCTGCCACCTCTCGTCCATTATCCTAGATTAATTCCTGGCCCTCCTTTGTTCTGCCAGCTTTTGCTGACAGGTCTGCAAAAAAGTATTTTGCTGTGCCACATGCTGAAAAATGCATGCCAGCAAATACCCTTCTCATTTCAATTAACATAGAGGAGTAGCTTCACATCATTTTCTCTGAATCATGCATGTGTGCAGTGTCAGGTAAGGCAGGATGTGACTCAAGCATGACTAGATTCAGAAGAAGGATTCTGTGAAATCTTCTGGTTTCAGTTCACAGAGATTCGGGTTCTGTACTTTTCTCCCAGACCTGCACAGCTCCCAGTCACATCAGGCTGAAGTGAACCAAGGGATGTTTCATAATAGCTGCTCTAAAATATTTTTTTGGTCTTCTACCATGCGTAGTCCTGCAGTGGAGAAAAGTGAATACAGAAATTTACCCTCTGCTTAAATTCCTTTCTTTCCCCATCTGTGCTGGAGAAATCTTTCCACCAGCTTCAGACTTTTCAGCATTAGGAAGCAATTGGTCTGTCAGCAGCACCCAGAGCAGCTTGTCCTAGTTGGGAGATCATGTCTCCTCCTCCTTCTGTTGAGGATGTTTCAGAAACCCCCTACTTCGAGAGCAATGCCTTAGCTTTCACCTTTGTTTTGAAACAAAGTTCGATTACACTTTGCCTAAGGAAACTGATGATCTCCTGTGCTCTGAAAGATGGCTTGAGGCTTTGCATTCGCACAAAAGAACTGAGAAAGAACAGGGAAACTTTCTTAGAATTCCTAATCTCAGAGATACACACAAATCCCAGCCTAGGCCCTCTAAGCCTACAACTCTGATATGTCAGAAAGTTTAATATAAAACCATAAAATAAATGTGTTCACATACTTCTGGATTGGAACATTATTTTTCCTAGTAGTTGAATGAAATCACAGATTCTTTTGCACAGCGTGGGGAAAGTGAATGAATTCCATAGTACTGCATTTCATATAATTGAATTGATACTAGTTTGAGTTGTATAAATTGGATAAAAATTAAAGCTGCTTTTAAAAATTCTGCTACTCATGAAAAAGCACACACTAATTAATTGCACTAATCCAAATTAAACTTTGAATGGAATAGTTGACATCAAGCAACCGTAAGTTTATCCAAAATAAACAAGATCCATTTCTATTTGAAACATTATTTCAACTAGCTTTCCTTACCTGACATGATTCACTACTGGCTTTGTATATACAGTTCTCCCAGATAGGCCTACATGCGTAATAGGATCCACCTGAAGATCCAGAGATGGGACACGACGATCAGAGAGAACAGTAATACTTGAGAAGATGGAAGGAGACAATTAATTATGACAATTCTCGCAGCTTTGGCAGGTAAATGTTTCTGATATGAGTGCTTCAGTCATGCACAGATAGATGACACATTTGTGTGTAGGCAGCGGATGAAGTTGGGTGTGGACTGCGTGCCTCTGCAGTGGGTACAGTGATAGGTTTAACTCAACACCAGCAGCACTGAGTCATCTTCCCAGAGCTTAAAGTTCCTCATCATTCCCTTGACGATGCAGAAAAATCCTGGCTGGACTACCTGCAAATTTTGGCTCACCGATGTGGGGCCCAATCTGAGAGAAAGGTCAACAGCACCACAGGGTTCCCATGCTCTCTCAAACCCTCCCCAAAAATCAACTGATTCATGCAAAAAGGCAATGTATACCTTCATTGCAACACTGGGCACTCATGATAGTGTTTGGGTTTTGTTTTTTTTTTTGTCTTATTCACTCTCCTTTACAATGAATACAGGCGAAAGTAACCCTCAAGAAACCCACAGAGTTATCTTGAAAGACAAAACTGAATCCAGAAAATTGGAAAAACCCAAGCACTTAGCGAATGGAACAGTGTAGTAATAAAAGAGGTATCTACCTTTAGGCAACAAAGGGAGCAACAACTCTATATTCTGACTAGCTTCATAATTCTGAAATGATGTCCAGCATCTGTCTCACATCGTGATTTGCCCATCTTTCCTACATAAATTGCTAAATTATCAACACACCAACAACCATTACAGCATGATTTCAGTTGGTTCTCCCTCATCCTCAAATTAACACAAAAATAACTGCAGCCTACCTTAACATCCTGAGTCAAAGAAAACCCTAGGAAATCTCACAAAGAATATATAAAAGTGCAACAATAGAAAAAAAAATAGCTGAAGTTGCTCTACTTCTTGTACCATCCGGTGAACTACAGAATAAATTTGGTGCAAATAAATATGCCTGCTGCATAGAGGAAGACAAATCTTGCCAGTGTAATTTCCAGACAGAATAGGTATGGATTGCCATCCTTCCCACAGCAGACCAAGCGCCTATATTCCACAGCCAGAGCAGATGGTAAGTGTGAGCAGCAAGAGCAAAAGGTAATAAAGAATTAAAACTGAATGTACCAGAAGGACCAGGGCCCTAGGCTGGACACTGAGCACAGCCTTCTTTCCCCTCTTTCTGATCCTGTCCCTCAGAAGTGGCTTCTGCATCAGTAAATTCTTTCAGAACAGACCTCTAGTAATGTTAGCACCCAACTCCTCATGAAACCAACACGCAAGAATGTTGCTTGAAAACTCAGGATTGCCCATCAGCCAGATCTGTGTTTGCTTGTCTGACAATGCAAGAGGCAGTTAGATCCCACAAATCCAAAGGTATAAGGGAGATAAGTGTTAATAAAATTATTTAAAAAAAAAAAGAAATACTGAACAGTGATTCTATCAGAGCTTAGACAGGGTTTCTACTTAATGTAGGTTTTCCTTTTTTCTGAATCAGCTGGAAATCACCACAATAGGAGACAGATCCGAACTGGAAGAACTCTGGATCTAACATAATTACAGTTTCTAGTCTGCCTAAAAAGCATGATGAAATGATTAATGAAGACTGTGCCATAACTGAGACATTGCCTGATCTCGGAAAGTGAGTCAAACCTGAAAGTTCACCAGCACTGATTTGATCAATTTGGTCAGAAAGCTCTTGAAACAGAAGTCAAGGTGAGTGACTAAAATGTGGGTAGGCTAGATCCTGCAGCAGTCATCAGATAAAACCAGTTATAAATGCAGTTTGTTACAGAAGTCAGACAGCTAGCTGCATGTCCCAACAATGACATCCCCCTAAAAATGCAAAGCCCAGCTGCATGTAAATAGCGAATTCAGTTCTTTACAAACCCAGTTGTCTCTTTTGTTAGTATAAAGCACACACATATTATGGTGATTTGTAGAAGCCCGACTTCGGCAGTCCAACCAATGTTATCTCAGGGTTTCCTTGGGCCCCCCAGGCTCTCTCTGTGCTCTCTGCTCCCTCCACGCAGCAGCGGGGCCATCAGCTTACTGCAAAGGGAGCTAGTCGCCTTTTGTTCTGTGCTTGCAGACGTGTGAGTGACGACAGCAGCAGGAATTATAAATACAAGTGGCATTACATACACATGCAAACACCCCCACGGAAAATTCAGCCATGAAGCTTTATTTGTCATTTAGTTATTCATAAAAATCAAAGACCTAGAAATAGAGAATTAAAAAAAAAAAAAAAAAAGACATACATCCTTGCCAAAACGCTCTGCTGGAGCGGGCAGCCCCAGGGGCCGAGTTCTGATCCCTGCTTCCAACAGCAGTGGTGCTTCCTCTGCGGGGAATTCCCAAAGCGAGTAAGATACCCTAGAGCTGACGTGAAGCCAATAGATTCAGCTCCCATGCCAGACTTCCTCCAGCTGTCAAAGCATGGAGTGTGTCATGATAGGAAGCCCACTGTGCCCTGACTACTCCCCTCTGGATCTGCAGCAGACTGGGCAGAGAGAAGAGCTCAAGGGCTCTACTGATCATCTCTGGCCTGAGATCAGAGATGCACACAGCCCCTGCTGCCCTACAGCACTGAGCACCTCAGACAAGGCCTTGTATCAGCCTCTGGAAGCCTTCTAACACCTTCCTGCAGTAATGCTTGTGCATCGTTGCTCATTAATAATTCATCTGTTGCTCTGCAATGCGCTCCTCCCTGCCTCTTCCCCCTTCCCTCAGACCCGTACCTATGTAGTTATCTTTGGCTGTCAATGTATGAAAGACATCCATTCGGCATCAACACCTTGCTGGGGTCTATAAAAGTGCAAACAAGTCCACGCCTCACTGGAAATGAGTTACATCTGTAAGGAACGTCGTAAGTCATCAAGAGGGGCAGCTTTCCCTGCTGATGTAAGAGTGGGCAGAGAGGGATTATCTGAAAGCTGTTGTGGACCAGTGTATACCAAGGCTTTAAAATCCTGTGTGGTTAAACAGTGACTCATAGCTGATCCTTATCTTGCCTGTCAACACTCACCATTGCTTTACATGCATATCATCGCTAAAGTACAGCAGAGGATCAAGAAAAGGGGCAGAAGTGAACAACGTTAATTTACAACGCATGCAGCTCATTCAGCTTCTGTGCAAAACAGATAAAATCTTTAAGCAGTGAGTATTTTACGACTTCTTAAAATTAAATTTAAATAGAACGCAAGTCTTGCTTCACGCCATCTGTAAACAAAAAATTAATTGGAGGATTGCCAACAGAACACCAACAGAAAGTTGTTTAAAAACACTCCGTTTTGTTCTTCTACGTACACAATCTATTCAAAACAGTTCACGTAAACGTGTACATAGGTATATTTACCTGCACATATATATACACACACACAAGCTCAAATATATAACGGAGCACCCATCACTGCAACATCCTTTCAAACCATTTAAAAACCCTTGGCATCATTTTAAAACCCTTCACAAGAGTTGAAAGACAGACCCAGCCTTACCTTTCCAATTCCCAGCTTCTCTTCATCTTTTGAAACCGAATCCTCACAGCTGTCTCTATGGTGACAGTGACGTCCCAGTCCCCACAATGAGCTGGATGCTGGCATGGTGGCAGGTGTCAGGGCAAGACTGTCTGCACCAGACACCTCTGCAGTCTCCAGTTCCTCCACGGGGTGCAGCATTCTTCTCAGAACTGGGTCTGACATGCTACTCAGTGTGGAAAACAGTGTTCAACACCAACCCACACCTGAGGGGAAGGGGAACAGATATAAATAAGTGATCCAAGAGGTTTTACTCTTATTCTTATTATTATTATTATTATTCTCTTCAATAACTACTGCTACTCAGGAAATAAATGCAATAGCACTGCTGAGCATATCTGGATAACCTACACAGAACAAGCTAATTATAGGTAATTTCTCCCAGAGGGTTTGACAGCAAGAAGATACTTGTGTTATGAAGTCGCTCATAAGCAACCTGATGAAAACCTCCTGCAATGTCCATCCACTGGCATGAGAGACCAGCAGTGAGAGAAGGATGCTTCTTGGCTCCTAGCTACTGGAGAGAGAAGCAAGAGGGGAGATCTTATCAAGTGCTAAGTGAGGAGCAGCAGGTGAGACCTGCAAAGGTGTGCCTTTCAGGCAGCACAGGAGGTGGCTCCAGTGGCTTTCCCTCCTTAGGAAAGAAACAGTGAGTCACTGGGGTGACAGAACGCCAGCCATTATTTATAGCCCTGATCAGATGTTACTATGATGTGTGTATCTAGCTGCTGTACAATGCCAAAGCACGCTTCCACTGCAACACATTTTCTTGTGGCAGCTTATATGCAGAGAAGGATGTTCAGACCTAGGTGGCACTTCCCCCTAAGTTCCCAAATCAAGGGAGATGTACCAAGGAAACAGCTTCCTCTTTCTGCACTGCCAGCATCTGCTGATACAGAACACTCCATAGGTGCTCCAGACAGTTGTTATTACAGTGACCTTTCACACGCTTACAGCTGAAGGTGGCTGGCACAGTGCTGCATCACTGTAACCCTACACTCCACAAGAGAGGAGTGGAAGTCCAGCGGTGTTTGTGGCAGCAGGTCACACCCAGAGGATTTATTGTGATACGCTGCTGCAATCAGCTCACTTGCAATTCCTCTCTGATAAACTGATCTGCTTAAGATGTAGAGGCCCTATTTGACCCAGATATTTAGAAAATAAAGTGAAAGAGAGAGTAGCCCTGTGTTTCCCTCTCTAGAAGTCCATATTCCTTTCAGCTAGTCAGCAAAAAACATATACCACATCACACTGGAGATGAGCTAGCCCAGTACACATTAAGTATGATCCAGAGAAGAGACAGAAGAGAAAGAGTGTATTAATAAAGCTTACATTGCTGTAATGGACATTAAAAATCTAGTCCCAGGCTGCATTATTAATGCACCATGCCTTTTGTGATAAGACTTGTTGTCATGTTCTTTTCTTGCTTCTTAAAGTAGAACAGAATATCCCAAGTTAGAAGAGACCCACAAGGATCACCGAGTCCATCTCCAGCTCCACATTTATTCACATTTCACCTCTTTTCCAACATTTGGACTGTAAATGCTTGTATAATACTGTAATGCTATAACAGTGTAAAATACAGCAATAATAACAGAGTAGCACAATCCCAGACTACAGCAAATGAGAACAAGCCCAAACACAGCAGCTGAACGTGAAGAAACAAAGGAAAAAGCTACTTACCCTTGAAAGGCCTCAGATACGTAGGGATCTCCAGTAAAACACCCTCATCTCCACTGCCAACCCTTAAATGAGGTCTGGGAAAGGGTGGATCCTGACTCCACCCCTTCTGGTCACTCAGGTTCATTGCTTGCACCTGAGCTTCCCTGGGTTGGCCCTGCCTTCCCACCAAGTGCTCAATCACTGGTCTAAGCTGTGACTCTGCATTTCCCTTACAACTTAGTAAGGTTGTAAGTTCCCTTACAACAAAGTAGTGGCTTTGCGTATTGCCCTTATCATGTTGGATTACTCACCCATGCCTAAGGCTTTAGACACTATAATAGTTTATTATTTTTTTAAGTAGTTTGAAAGGAAACAATCCAGAAGGAGCCAGAAGTAGCATAGTCCTGTATCTACCTCCTTTACAGTGATTGTTGCACTCAAGAGATGCAGCGTCAGTCCACACATGCTTGGTAAGCACAGAAATCTTCTGAAAAAACTTCATCACTTTGAATGAAAAGAATTTTTATCCTGACAGCATCCAATGCTCAGTCCCTTCCAGTTCATACAGAATTAGTTCCTATTTTGTAGCAAATAGATACAGAAAGTATTTTACTCTTAGAGAAAGCAGAGATCACCAGGCTAAGAAGGGCTGTATCTCCTGTTGTAAGCAGAGCTGCACAGGTGCAAGACTCCTTTCATCAGAAGTTATAGCCAGCTCATATTGATGAGCATACCAGCCAAGGAGTGTTGGAAACATCCAGGTTGTGGTTTAAAGCATTCCTCCGGTCTCCACAAATGTCTAACAGCAAAGGTGACCACAGGATGCAAGATAGCAACACACAGAGTAACACCTCAGTAAGCGTAGATTACACCAGAGGTGTTACACAGCACTCGGGAGCAGAGATGAGTCTCCATAGTCCACCTTGTAGCCCCCATGGGAGAAGCACTACAGGATGACAAGGCTTTAAAGTAACTAACGTGAAAGCTAAGTTTCCCTCAAAGCATCTAGAATGAAACCTTTCAGTACAATCATGTCCAATGCAAAAACAACAGCTGACACCTGTGCAGGCACACTATAATGAGAAAACAAAATGTCAATGAATCTTGTACTATAGAGCAATCTTCCAGTCTTTTTCTAACCCCCTGTCCCTGCCCCTGTCTAGAATCCCATCAACTCCACAAGAATTAGGCTATGTGTTCTTTCAATCTGTAACAATCTGTTATATTTCACAAGTACTTTGCATTGTCAGTGAGATTTCATATAACCAAGGAATACACTTCTCATAATACAATCATGTTCATGGCTGGGTACAAGATATTTCATACTACAACTAAGTATAGCTTCAAAAGTCACCTTTTCATAGTGACCATAACTACTGGGACAAAGGTGGTGGCGTTTAGGATTTTCCTCATCCTGCAAAATAAAAAAAAACTATCTTGCCCACTACTCCCAGCTTCCCCCTAAAATGGGAGGAATTCCTGCTGATCTGCTGCTACTGAGCCAAATCAGGATTGATTTTTAAAGAACAAGTTCTCTGGTGTTTTGCTGTTTTCATGCTTCTAAACTTTTAATGGCAACTGTTTAGCACATTTCTAATTAGAAATGCACAATAATAATTAAAATAGTTTTTTATATAAAAAGTCTATAATTATGTCTTTTGCTTTGTTCGACGAAACTATGATTTCTACCAAAACACATGACCAGCCCTCGGGTGGTCTATTCACAGCAAACAATGTATTGTCCTGGGCACAGAAGAAGAAAGACAAGATGTGGTTTAATTGAGCCTCAGACTTCATTTACTCAACTTTTATGGAAACTACCAGTAATAACTCGTAGAGGGCACACCATTATTTCTTCTTTCATCAACTCTCCATGATCGAATTCTTCCATTATCAGCTTCTTCTTTCTCATGCATTCGGTTACATTCTACTGCTGGGACACCACCATCCTCTTTGTATGTGGGTTAAAAAGTCAGAGTAGGGGAATTTGTTTCCTCACGACATCGGACACACGAAAATGCCCAAAACCTATAATCAAGCTTTCCATTAGTTGTTTTTGTTGTTGTTGTTGTTGTTTTTCTTGGTCTAAGTTTAGTTCCAGAGTCATAGCTAGCTCAGTTGCTTTGAACCCAAATGAATCAAAACAGATTAAAACTTCATTCCTTAGGTAAGATAAAATAAAAATGTCATCTCTTCATTTCTAGATAGCTTTGATATCAGACACAATATTGTAAAGAGAACGAAAGATTTTTCCCCACTCCCAGATTATCAGAAATCTTTGGAAGTGACTTTGCAAATCTGTTCAAACCTACTTAGCACAAAGTCACACCAAACTAGTTAATTAGAAAACAACACTTTTATTAACTGTAGTGCCTGAGAACATCTGTTGTTTGTGTTTGAACAAATCCTGTCCACTTAGGCATTACACCTACTGCACATTTTGACAAGGGAGTTCATCCTACCAGTGATGGGATGCTTCTCACTGGAAATTAATTCTTTCTGTTCTAAGGTAACAGCATGGATGCAGGACACAATGGGAAGGAAGGATCTGATAAAGAAAGATGAACTTGAGTGCTCTGGGCTTGGGGCTTTTAAGTGAATAATCCATTTCCATGGAGTTTAAGAGCCAAAGGAGGTAGGCTGACGGGTGAGGAGTTGAGTTAGGTGAGGAGTTGAGTTACCATACCAAGGGCCAGAAAGGGACTCTCAGGAGTCTGCCAGATCTCAGGATCATCCAACAGACTGTTCCCACACTCTCCAGCCACCTCCCATCATTACATTTGCAAAGATTGTTCTGTGACTGCTGCATACCTGGACAGAACAGGTAGGTGCTCTGTCCTTCCTGAGCTGAAGGTGAGTGGATTGTGCCCGTCCAACAGCTCTCTACTGACCTTATTTCAAGCCTACAGAGCTAGGAGGCCTAAAACAACATATGTGCACCCTACCTGCAATGGCACAGGCCCACTTCAAATCAATCTAGAAATCCTTCCTGCCTGCAAAGAAAGAAGCTATACGGAAGCCACCATGGAAACCAGTATGGAACCAAAAGACATTCAGACTTCAGGCTTGAGTCGAATTCTGAGTCAATATGACAGTGTGGGTGGTCCACAACTTGCGGAGTCAAGACCACCACAGTTGCTCATCAGTGGTTTGATACCTGCTAAGTGTGTCTTTATTTCACAAAACAAACTCAGAACAAGCACATGCAGTGACACAATTGTGCCTGCTCTAAAAGGATTCAGATACAACACATTTTCCCACTTACATTTTCCCATTCCGCTAACATTATTGAAGAAACATTTCATTTTCAGCTGTGTTTTCAGAAAGCTAACAAGGCTCTTATGAATACATCAAAGCAAAGTCATCTAATTCATTTACACAAATGTTTCCGATTACTTTTCCTCTGACCATTCAGACAGTGCTTTATTAAAAAGTCAGATGAAAAATTAAGTGTTTTTCAGGACCATCTCTCATAACTCAAGGTCTTGATCTCTCCCTGCATTACAGAACATCTGTATGGTGCAAAAAAAAAAAAAGAAAAGAA